TACTGGTTTTTTAATTATTAGGAGACTGAGATATTTACAAGTGAATTTCTTTAGCTTTTCACAAGAAAATATCAGAAGTCACATAGGTTCTTATTATGGAATTTTTTTTCAAATATGCCCTAAACCTTTAGTAATATTTGAACTCTCTCCACATTAGATGTATCAATTTATTGTACATACAACCTTAAATGTTATGTCAGCAGTTTTCTGTCTTCATCTAGCCAGGAAACTTCCAACTTCAAACTACTTAGAGAACTGCTAAGAAATCTTGGCATTTGTAGAATCCTTTGCCTCCAAGCTAGACCAAGACCTTTCTATATTGAGCATCTTCTTCCATTTTCAAGACAACCCCAGGTAAAATGGGACAAAAAACCAACGCTTTTATTGTAAAGACTGGAAAGTCAAGACAACATGCAAAGTAATTGCCCAGAAAATCCATAGAAAGGGGCAGCTAGGTGATGCAGTAGATAGAGCACTGGCCCTGAAGTCAGGAAGACTTGAGTTCAAATCAGTCTCAGACCAAACACTTGACACTTACTAGCTGTGTGAGCCTGGGCAAGTCCCTTAACCCCAATTCCCTAAAAAAAAAAAAAATCCATAGCAAAGTAAAGATCTTTGGTAAGGGTCTGTGGTCCTTCACATTTGTAGTTCCCTGGCTAATGCAGTTTCTTGAATTTCCAAAAGAAAGTTGATATATGCAAAGATAAATTACATGGGCTCCTAGGTCCAGTACATTCCCATTTAGAAATCCTGATTCCAGAGACATAAAGTGAGTAATTCTGGGAAGAGATCAAATGCCTTGCAAGAGATGGGAATATTGAGATCATAAATCACAAGATCATAGATATTTACCTAAAAGGGTATCCAGAAGGCATCCATTCCAACTCTCTCATTTAAGGGATGAAGAACTGAGGTTCCCAGAAGTTAAATTACATGTTCAAGGTGGGTAGAAAGGTGGCAAAGGCAGCATTAGAACCCAGGATCTCCAATTCTAAATCTAGCATTTTTTCACTCTACTGATATCACCAAGTGACACCAGCATTTCATGACAGTATGATTTGTGAAGGTAGGTCATAAATCATAAGCAAATTTTGACTAGGAAGAGATTATTGTGCTTTTTGGTCCTTCTAAATTTAAATCAAATGCCACTGGATTAAAATAATTAAATTTAACCAGTAAACCAAATATTTTAGAGCAGGAGTTCTTAACCTGTAGTCTGTGAACTTAAAAAAAAATTTAAAACCTGGTAACTATTTCAATATAATTGGTTTCTTTTATAAGCTTACATATGTTATGCATTTAAAATCATTATTCTGAGAAGGGGATCCACATATTGTCAGAGGGATGGATACGTGACATAAGAAAGGTTAAGAACCCCTGTTCTAGAGTAATTTTAAAACAAAATCTAAAGTATTAACACTTACATATCTTTCTTACTGTATTTTCTATGTTGTCCATCACTACTTAAGAGTAATGTCATATTCAGACCTTAATCAGGAGGTAATTTTATGTTTCCTTGAATCTTGGCCTGGTATCAAAATCTACCCAGAGTCTGTACACTTCTCTAAGACTTCATATTATTTTGGCATTGAGGTCCCTTTAACTACTCTCTCATCTTCCAGGTAAGCCTTCAAAGTTTAAGGACTTCTTTAAATATCCTCAACCGTTTCTGAAGTAATTCCCCACCCTTTTCAGCTCAACTTAGTCAGATTGGATTTTCATACTTTTGCCTTTTAAAGCATAAAAGTCCAGAGTCTCTCTCTTCCCCAAATCAAAAGTTCATCTTCTTCTTCTCACTTATAATTATTATTATTGTTGGTGTTGTTAAGAAATACCCTTTTCCTCCCATAAGCTATTTGACTTCTTTAGTTAAATTGGGTGTGGCTTGAATCTACATAGATCTAATAGTGTGTTGCTACAAGCAACACTTAATATAAACTACTTCAGGTAAAGAAATGGTATCTCCTTACATAGGATATTGGGGAAAATAACCAATGGGAAATTAATAGTAAAATTGTAATATGTTTCATCACAAGTTACAATAAACATTTTTTAAATTTATTTCTTCATTTATCCTCATAAAATGCAGAAAGCAATGTGTTGTAGTAGAAGAGGTCAGGACACCTAGGTCCAAGTCTCACCTCTACCACCAGTTTGTTTAATTGCTTTACTTTTTATGGCCTCATTTTCTCATCTTGAAAATAAGAGGATGGGACTAGATGATGTTCAATCTAGCTAGTTACTAAGCTACTGAGTCAGCAACTTTGAAAGAACTTGACTTTATAGCCATTACTTTTAAAATTAAGATTGACAACTCATTTTTCTATGCTTCAGGTAGTACAGAATATCCAAACAATGGCTCTTCCTTTAAGTACCTAACACTTTGTGCTGGACACTGAAAATACTAAGATAACAATAAAACATTTCCTGCCCTCAGAGGGTTTATATTTTATTGGTAGGATAAATATGTATATAGATAAGTATGTACAAGGTAAATCAAGAGATCATAGGACCATTAATGGAGAGGTACAAGGGACCTTGAAGGTCACTTAGTCTAAACCCCCAAGTTTACCAATAAGGAAATGGAGGTTTAAAAAATGTGATTTGGAGTCCCTAGCTGCCCTTCAAAGATCAGTTTAAATGATATCTCCTTTAAATGGTCTTTCTAAACTCTTCCCAGTTGTTAGTGACCTCCAACCCCAAAAATAACTATTTATATCTATGTACATATTTTTCACTTCTCTTCCGTCATTCCCAGTAAGTTCCTTGAAGGAAAGGATGATTTTCTTTTTGACTTGGTACCACCAGTATCTAGCACAATGCTGAACATATTGTAGGCATTTAAATGATGAACTGACTTGCCCAAGGTCACACAGCTAAGTAACAGATCCAGAATTAGAAAGTGTCTTTGACTCCTAATCCAGTTGCCTCTCACTAACAACAGGAAGGGAAAGGTTACAGATGGTTAGGAAAGGCAGCATGAAGGAAATGTTACTCAAAATGAATCTTTTATTTTATTTGTTTTTTAGGCAATTGGGGTTAAGTGACTTGCCCAGGGTCACACAGTTAGTAAGTGTCAAGTATTTGGTCTGAGTCCAGATTTGAACTCAAGTGCTCCTGATTTCAGAGCCAGTGCTTTATCCACTGTGCCACCTAGATGCTCCTTACCTGAAATGAATCTTGAAGGAAGCTATGGATCTTGAAAGGTAGAGATAAAGAAGGAGTATATTCTAGGCACGAGGGACAAAATCTCCTAGAATTCATGGGGCAGAAAATAGAAGGCTCAGAGAACACCTAAGAGTATAATTTGGTTGTAACAGACAATGCAGGGCAGGGAGCAATATGAAAGAGTACTGGAAAGGTAGGCAAGAATCACACTGGAGGGCCTTAACAGTTTGAAGAGCTTGCATTTTGTCCTAGAAATACTAACATTTTATCCTAATATCCTAGTATTTTATACAGCAACAGTGGGGAGCTAGTGAAAATTTTTTCAATAAGAGAATGACATAGTGAGACTTCTACCTTATGAAGGTTATTTTGATGGATATATGGAGGATAGATTGGCAAGGGAGAGAAACTAGAATGAAGGAGCAATTAGAACAGCCTAAGGCTCTAATTAAGTTTACCTGAACTAAGATGATGGCCATGTGAGCAGAGGAGAGGACTAATATGCAAAACTGTGTAGATAAGAGTCACATCAATAATACTGGGCAAGTGATTAGCTAGGGGTACATGTGGTGATGGAGTGGAAGAGTCACAGATGACTTTAAAGTAGTTGAACTGGGCTACTAGAATTATGGTGCCATGAATGGAAATAAGGAAGTTTGGACAAAGGCTGTGTTTGAGGAAAAATGTGTTCCACTTCAGACAAATTGAGGTGAAAATGCTGATAGGACCTTAGGCACACTGGCAGATGGTGAGCAGTCAAGCCAGTTCTTCTTGGATCCTTCCCTGGAGGGCCATTTATCTGTGTGGGACATAGTCTAGCAGCAGACCAAAAGATATAGACTCCTTTTTGTAGATAATAGACTCCTATAATATTAGAGCTAGAATGAGCTTTAGTTAAGAGCAAGTACTTCATTTTGTAAATGAAGAAACAGAGATAAATTGACTTGTCCAAGGTCATTCAAGACTTCTTAAACTTTTTCCACTCGTGACCCCTTCAGCATTTCTTAAATTGTGTGTCATGATCCCATACGGGATCGCAACTCATAGATAAAGTTGGTTAGTGAGAGGGCCATGACTATAAGTCAGATCTACAACCAGTACAGTAATATTTCAAATATATTACATTATATGGAAAGACAGAAGAGAAGGAGGATCAGAAAGGCAAGGAAACCATTCTTATAACTCAATGTCAAGTGATCTTTCCAGCCTTAATTCTGTTGTGTTTTTTTTAGGTTAAGTGACTTACCCAGGGTCATAGCTAGTAAGTGTCAAGTGCTTGGTCCGAGGCTAGATTTGAACTCAGGTCCTCCTGACACCAGGGCTGGTGCTCTATCCACTGCACCACCTAACTGCCTCCCAGACTTAATTCTTACTATTTATTCTCATGCATTTCAAACTCTAGCCAATCAGACCTACTTTCCATTTCCTAAATATAATCTCTACTCTTCCAGTTCTCTGCTTTATATATTTATAAAAATGATCTTTGTACACTGTTGGACTTAAGGGACCTGTCTTGAAAATTTAACCGTGAAACAGACTGGAAACCAGCTGGAAATAATTCTTATATGGTGAAATTTTAATGGCACATGCATCCTAAGTTACAGTTTCCATTTAAATAACAACAATCTTTCACTGACTTTCACATTTCTCTTCCCACTCTTTTGAGGGGCTTTCCAAAAACACAAGGATTAAATGTTTGCGTGGGTATTTCCATAGCCTGTATGGCCAGAGAAAGTTGCCTATTTAAAGATTTCATCGAAGGGTAAGATTTACTTCAGTATTTGAGAGAAACAGATCAGTTTCCTATAACCAGTAGGACTAAAGAGGTGTACCTGAAGGTTTTCAATTTCTTCTTTGTGTTCCCTCTTCAAGTGTAAAATTGCAGCTTGGTACTCTGTAAAATTACAAAAGAAGCCATTACAAAAGGAGCATGAAATCATTCACAAAATTCAAGTGAGCATTCATCCAAGGATAGAGTCCTCCTAGAGGCCAACTGGGGAGACTGTCATGGTTTGAATTCCAAAAGGTCAGAAACTTCATAATGGGGGCTTATATGAAGTCAAAACATAAAACATGTGACACAGACTATGCAAGTACACCATTTATCAGACCCTGGGATTATGGGAGGCCCAAACACAGTGATTAACTAGGAAGTATAGGATTAAAAAATATGAAGATGAGTGTTTTATATAAATATTGGGTTGAATGTTTGACATGAGGGAGGAGATGACAGCCAGCTAAAGCCCCACAGAGAACAAATATGAACATGCTTTAAAAAAAAAAAAAGGAAACAAAGGAGTTTTTTTTGTATGTAAGAACAGAGATTTAACATTTTGTTTTCAGAAATCTCTTGATAGAAAAACCTAAGCATGCTCTTAGACTAGGTTTTAACCTATACAGGCTGAGCTGAAAGTAAAGGCAATTGATCATTTGATTATAGACTAGAGAAGACAAGAACAGAGAAAGGGACTGAGAAAATTTTTCTTTTTACTTTTCCAATTTTAGTTCAAGTTTAATAGCGTTCCAATCCCAACTACATAGAGGTTTGGGAACCCCATCAATAACATGAAGTCAAGACAAATTCACATAGTAGGTACTAAATATATGCTTATTGATCCAATTAAAATTCATGTCCTACAATGAGGCTGAACACCATGAAATCATAGTCCTGTGAGAACTACAATGGGAAGAAGTGAGACCTCCATTGTGTGAACTCTCAAGTTATGAAAGGAATGGAACAAGTAACCTTCATGCCAATGCTATACAGAGATAAAAGATGTGAAGAGTGAGAAAGGGAAATGGCTTAGGCTTGACCAGAAAGTCAGTTAAAATCGGCTTATTTTACCAATAAGGTATCAGAAATTAGAAGCAGGGAATTAAGGTCCTGGTCTAATAATGTCTGTCATGATCAGTATCTTCCCACCTTACATTTGTTTATGTTTTGGTATAATTACTAAGCACATTCACATATCTTGTCTTATTTAATCTGCACAGCAACTGTATGGAAGGTGCTATAGTAAGAATATTGGATTTGAAGTTATAGGATTTGGGTTCAAATTTAAGTTCACATTACTATTAAGTTCAGAGTAAGTCTTCCGATTTTAAGTGCAGCACTTTTCCTACTACATGGGTTGGAGTTGAGGTGTCAGAGTGTGGTATGTAGCTCTTTTTGCCAAAGTAAATGAATAGTTTCTACAAATGAAGGAAGATGATGGAGACACCTTTCATAGCATGCTTTTCTTTGGTCATTTCAGTCATGTCTGACTCTTCATGACCCCATTTGGGGTTTTCTTGGAAAAGATACTGAAGTGGTTTGCCATTTCCTTTTCCAGCTCATTTTACAGATGAGAAAACTCAGGCAAACAGGGTTAAGTGACTTGCCCAGGGTCACACAGTTAGTAAGTATCTGAGGCCAGATTTGAACTCCCAAAGATGAGCCTTCCTGATTTCAGGCCCAGTGCTCTATCCACTGTGCCATCTAACTGCCTACCTTTCATAACTATGGCTTAGTTAATGCATCAAGGAATAGTAGAGATTGCAAAAAATTAAACAGGCAATTTCAATTTGCATGAACAAAATCAATTTAATTAGGGGAATTCACCTTTTGGGGAAAATTTTTTGAAGTCAGTATTTCTGATAAAGGTCTGATACTGAAGATATATGGGGAATTTGTATAAATGTATAAGAAAGAATAAGAACCATTTCCTTATAGATAAGGGGTCAAAGGATAGAAACAAACAGTTCTCCAAAGTATTATAAACTATTAACAATCATAAGAAAGACTATTCTAAATATTTCACAATAAGAGGAATGAAAATTAAAACAACTCTAATGTTTTACCCTGCATCTAGAAAATTGGACAAGGTGACAAAAAGATGGAAATAGTCAATTCTAGATGAGATGTAAGAAGATAATCATACTAATTGACTGTTGGTGGAGCTGTGAATGAATCTAGCCATTCTAGAAAACAATTTGGACTTAAGCCTCCTCCCCCCCCCAAAAAAGGCAATAACAAAGTGTACATAACTTTTGAGTCAGAGAACCCATTGCTAGGTATATACTACAAGGAGGTCCAAGACATAAGTAAAGGACCCATCTACCAAACATTCATGACGAAACTTTTTGTGATAGTAAAGAATTGGAAACAAAGTAGTGGCGTGTAGATTGGAATTGACTCAACAAACTATGTTGGAATATGATGGAATATTACTGCACCATAAGAAATAAGGAGGAATCCAGAGATGCATGGGAAGACATGTGAAGTGATGCGGATATACCACATCTGGATAAGCAGAACTAGGCAAGCAATATACACAATGACTACAGTAATACATGGAATACAGTAATGCAAAGAACAATAAAAATGTAAAATTTATACTGACCAATTTTGGTCGCTTAGAGAAGAGGTGCTAAAATGTATTTCTTTCATTGAAGAGGAATGGAACCATGGGATGTGGTATGTTGTCAAATGCTGTCAATGTATTGGCTGGTTTTGCTGAACAGGTTTTTTTTGTTTTTTGCTTTAATCTTTGATGTAAGGGGAGACTTTGGATTTTTTTCCGGGGGGGGGAAGGGAGTGAGGAAGAACAGATATTCTGAAATAAAGTAATAAAACTTTTTTAAAAGGGTAAATGAAAAAATCCATGTCTGCCAACTCATCTTTCAAAAATACTAGATGAGAATTAAAAACTATTAGCATAAATGTGAATAGAACTCAGGTCTATAAATCTAAAGGTTTCCTTCCCCTACCCCTCTATTCTTCACACAAAAAAGTCCCTACTGGGCAACTTTTTAGGGATCCCTCTCCTTGGTTACTGTACTTGTTTGGCAATACCTCCCCCCTAACTTTGCTAAGGTCATGCACACCATTAAGCACAGTACATGACGCACAGTAGGCACTATGCCTTCCTGACAAAGCTCTCACCTCTGCCCCTTCCTGTCCCTTCATCTCCTCAGGACCAGGCTCAGAGCCCTTCAGGATGAAAATCAGCCAATCTGATAAACTCATTGTACTAATATAAATAGGATTTAGGTAATTCTGGGCTCTTTCCTGAGCTGCTAGTGGACATAAAGGGCATTATCACTAAGGACTTCTAGAAATAGATATTATATGACCTCTTATGTGAACATGTATTCTTTAAATAAAATAGAAATGATGTACAAATTAGTCCAAATTAGGCTGGTGTAAAATCTGTGTGATAACTAAATAAATATATTTGTAAAATGCCTTTCAAACTTTAAATCACTATATACATTATTATTAACAATTATTATTATATGGGATGTCATCAGTTGGATGACTCCCTCAACCAAATTAATGAGATTTGCCTGCTGGGCACATTCCATGGAACCTGTGCCCTTAGAACCTTCTTGAGAAAGTCAGGGCGCCGAGTGGTCTACAAATGGCAGGCAGATGTTCCCATTCTCTGTTCCCTAGGGCTCCCTTTCCACTTTCTTACAGGATAAAGCAAAGGAAAGGGGAAGGAGAAAAGGGTTGTCCCTTACTTCACGAGGGCTAACAATGATGACATTAGAAGTTCATAGCAATCACAAACATATTTGAACACATCTGAGAGGGATGTTTAATAATTCTGTTCCTAAACCTCAATGCCTTTTCTTGGTGTAGGGAGGAGATAGAGAGGGGGGATTTTGACTTCCCTAGGCAGTATATCTCAATCTAACCTTTTGTCTAGAGAAAGGAGATTTCCTGGACAAAATCAGCTTTGGTTATTGCCTCCTGAAAAACTTCAAGATCAAGCATTACTGAATTTGAGAATTTGAGTTCCTAATCTTCTAAAGAGGGAGAAAAAGGCATCCTGATGTATCATTCTCTCTAGAGTAAAGAGATGAGAGGCCATGTAGATCCTGTGCCATCTCAGCAACCTACTTGGACAGCAACACAACCTGAGTGCTACTTAAACAGTGCAGGTCCAAGGGGAATGTGAATACTTGTTGAGCATCCCTCCCAAGGCTTTTTGACCTTCTATCTCTGTCTCTCCGGAACCTAGCATGGTGTCTGCTACACAATAAGTACTTAATTAATTCTTAATGGTGGATTGCCCAATGGTCCTTATTTGAGTCCTTTATATTTCTATATTTTCTTAGGACTTAATTAATTCTTAATGGTAGATTGCCTAATGGTCTTTATTTGAGTCCTTTATGTTTCTATATTTTCTTAGGACCTACTGAATCTTTATATCATGTGTATTTTCTATAGTTCATGGAATAAAGACTATTCCACGATCAATTTCCATATTATACACTGAGCAGGAGTTGTACACATGCAGGAATCGGGGACCTTATTCCTTTCTTTTGGGTTAGCCTGGACACATGCCATACACCCAAGCTGATTCAGGAAATTTCTTCAGAGTTTCTGGGGTGAGAACAATAATAAAAAAGAGAGATGTATCACCTCTCCTATCCTCCCAAACAATCTAGGCCATGCAATCCACGTCACAGCAAACTAGGTTTAAAGCTGATGGGACCTTAGAAGCCACCAAGTCTAATATGCTTATTTTACATATGAGGAAATTGAGAATCAAAGAGATTGACTTATCCAGAGTCACATAGCTAGTAAGTATCTAAGGGAAGATTTGAACTCAGACCTTTTTAACTATAAGCCCAGTGCTCTGGGTCGTATTTATGTAGTAGCTCTTAAAAATTCTATTCTATAACTATTTTCCCTTAAACATGTACTCATCATGCACTATGCCATGCTGTCTGGAGAGATGTTAGAAGCTTTTTGCTCTGTTCTTTGGAGACAGACAATGAATGTACTCCTGCGCTGCTCTGTTTCTGTCTGGATACAACCTGGAATGACAGACCTAGAAGAAGATCAGTAATTTGATATGCACTCTCCTTTCTGTTAAGGGATCATTATCAAAAGGCCATGTT